CATTGAGTTTGTTGTTACATCAGAAACTTTGGAACTGCCCTTAACACGTTGGCGACAATGCGTCCTGATGCCAGGATGCAGATTAGTCATCCGCGGGGATTCTCTCGCCCTTCTCCAGCTTCCTCAACAGGGTTCCTTCGTCCCAATGCTCTTCCTCCATTCGCCCTTTGCCCTTGCATCTGACGTAATTATGATCCTAAGTCTCACTTTCGCTCCGCTGTATTCCTTCACTTCCCTCCCTAGGTCATTACCGTTCTTGCTCATTCATATGATGTCCAGATGATGTTTAACAAAATCTATGTTTTTTCAAATTCTCTTTTTTCTCATATAAATTTCTGTCCTCAAATTTAAAAGGACAGGGGTCAATATTTTGAAGCCTATTTTTTTCTCAAATCTTCAGCTGTGAAATGTCGCGTAAAATGATTTTTTTGTCCGGCTAATTTTTTTTCTATTGCAAAAACGACAACGTTCAGGATGTTCCCGTACCAAAACGTATTAATATTTTGAGACTCGGTGAATTTTCGTCCCTCTATCCACGATCGAGACATCTTGATTTCCGTTTCATGGTTCTGACGCTGTTATTCTTTTATTTTATTATTATACAATTTGTATTATTTTATTAACGTTACGTTACATGCGTTACGGTCGGAATGATTTAGCCCTGAATATTGAAATTTTGAGAACCACAAGCTTAGAATTTGATTTGTGCATTTAAATGTAAAGGAATTTTATTTACAGCATATATGTTTTATCGAATAATGTACTGCAGATGAAAATTTCGGCATTCCTCGCGATTTCTTGAGGGACATTCTTCCTGGAAGGTGGACGGTCATATGCAAAAGGAAGAATTATAATAAAATATTAAAATAGAGCGCACTGGAAAAAAAAAATACTGAAGCTGTATTGTTGCGGTAGAATATTGAAACATCATGCAATATATTTCACATTTTGGCTAGGGGTTTCAGCACCGTGTCCACGTCATAAGCAGTGATAACGTCGACAGGATCGTAGTATTCAGCAATAGATAATTTTTTTAAAAAGTCGAATCATTCTAGAGAAGTCAAGATACACGGGAGCATATGCCGAATAAGAGAGCTTTCGAAATGCAAATCTATCCTCTCGTTGTGCGGCCACTGCGGCCAAAACAGCATATTCAATTTATGAAAATTTTCTCACTGAGTTTCCAAAAAAAAAAAACGAAACAGTTCCACGTCGACCCTAACCTACATATATCGGCAAACCAAATTTCGTCGCAAAGATCGCAGTTTCCGAGGTGCAACACGTTCATTCCATCCCCACCAGCCAATGGTGACTGGAGTCCTTTAGAAGCGAAGCCCAAGTCGAAAGAGGAAGATCCACGAGAGGAAGGGCAAAGGGAGGAAGGGCGAATGGAGGAAGAGCATTGGGACGAAGGAACCCTGTTGAGGAAGCTGGAGAAGGGCGAGAGAATCCCCGCGGATGACGCCCGCCTCGTGAGGTACTTGAGGGAGAATGTCCTCGTTCCCCCCGTGAGTGGACCGTACAAGTTGGTCAATTCCGCACGGCAGCAGTTCTCTCAGCTGTTCGAGCAGTTCGTCGTCCTCAGGGACTACTTCGGCGGCTCCGTCGGTACTTCGATGCGCTCTGGCGGAACGCGCGTGCGCGTCACGGCATTATTCTCGTGCTCTCGTACGTGCAGACCGGCGGATTCTTCGTCGAAGCAGGGGCGTTCGACGGGGAATTCTTGTCAAACACGCTCTGGTTGGAAAGAGAAAGGAACTGGACGGGTCTCCTCATCGAACCGGGAAAGCAAAATTTCGCCGCGCTGAAGGGGAAGCAGAGGAAGGCCTGGCTGGCCCATTCGTGCCTCAGCCCCACTCCCCATCCACAAAGGGTCTGTTTTGTTTTTTCATCATCTCGAAAAGCGCTTTTTTTTTCGAAGAAGCGTGTCGCGTTAGCTCATAAATCGCATTTATAAAATAAAAATAGAAGCTAACATGGGATCGGCTTGGTGGCGGAATAGCCAGGCATCCCACATCCGGTTTGTAAATAATCGAGCATCCCCCAGGCTCAGGGCCAGATTAAAAGGGGGGGGGGGGGGGGGCAAAGGGGGCTGCTGCCCCGGGCCCCCCCCAGAAGGAAATTGACGTTAAATATTTGCGTAAAGTAGTGGGGGGCGGGGGAAGATAGCCTGAAGAATCCACTTGCCCCGGGCCTCGCAACTTCTTAATCCGGCCCTGCCCAGCCTGATTTCGGGCATCCTGTGGGCCTGATACCGAGCTAGTACAAGAAATGCTTCAACCTCTGTGGGCAGAGTGCAACAACTCGTATATTACGCCATGGGCCGAGGTGGCTGCAGTCCCACCCCTCTAGAGGCAGTTTAAGCGTTTGCTGCTTTTGCCAAAAATAAACAAGAACGAATGACCTAGGGAGGGAAGTGAAGGAATACAGCGGAGCGAAAGTGAGACTTAGGATCATAATTACGTCAGATGCAAGGGTATTGACCTCTCTACAAGAATGCTCGTGATTCCCAGTCGAGGCAACTACGTACAAGTGCCGTCTTAAATAGAATAGGTCTAGGTACTCGGAAAGATGCATGTGATGATCGGAGTGTTGCAAGTTTGAGAGATAGGAGGGGTTACCTGATGAAGAACCTGCAAAGCGAGGAAAAGAGTCCGATGAAGAAAATGAAAACTGGATCGTCGATCCTAACATCGAAATGATTGATGACCGAAAGGGGCAGAAGAGCACGCGACGAAGCGAGCGATCCGAACCGGAAAACATCCAGATGACGACTGCCGCGTCTGACAGATGTCGCTGGTTGAGGCTTCCTCGGACGGGGTGATGACCCGGGACGGGGAGGCGTCGTCTGCTGCACAGCGCGTCGTCTGCTTCCCGCTGGAATCCTTCCTCAGAGCCATCTCGCGGCGCTCGGTCGAATTCTTCAGTCTCGACGTGGAGGGGATGGATCTGGACGTTCTCGCTGCGTTTCCCTGGAAGGATTTCCAAGTGAAGGTATGGGAATATCGTGATTTTTTCCCCATTGCGATCTGATGTTGCATGGACTCGTTCTTTCAGGTTGTGATGGTCGAAACGAACAAAGGGACGAGGGATGGGATTTTGAAGCTGATGGCTGAGGAGAAATATCGCCACACGCGGCGGCTCAGTATAGACGACGTCTTCGAGAAACTCCGCGATTAGGTCGTCGGTCGTCCTCTCCGAGGTAACGTGGAGCCAGTTGCCGCAAATAACGTTTCTCCGCAGGTCAGGAGACATCTGGCAAAAATGAGAAGGATTTGCATCTCGTTTCTTACTAGTTACTAATGACAGGGAGGGTTGGGTAGTAACGCGTTACCGTAGAATGTTACGCATTTAGTTCAACGGTAATCGTTCCATCTCGCGAGGTGGAACGCGTAACGGCAATTTGTTCTTTTTTTTTAATTTTCTATTGTCATTGCCGGTGAGGGCAATAAAGTATCAATTCTTGTCAAATTGCCCATCAAATTTTGACGTTTTCAGCCTGGATCAGTCGTGATAGTGAGCATGTCAAAGTGGCGGACTTTAAATTCAACGAGTTACTTAAAAAAAAAAAAAGAAATAGTGAAGCTGGACTAGTTCATCTCAGATTGTAACGTGCTCATCAGCGAACATTTTCCAGATCGTCTTCAAGAGGAATAATATAAATAAAATAACAAAAGCAACTTTCGCTGTGGTTGGAGCTCACGGACTTCCCGTTTTTGTATCTTTCGTGATATTATATTTTTATTTCGAGATGATATATTTCGTGATATATTCACGATTTGGGAATGTGTTGTCGCTGTCGAACGAGTCACGTATTTTATTCCTCGCTGTTTTCCAAATGGACTAAAAAAAGCTGGACATCTACATGCCCATCACCTTTGAAATCATGGGCCTCCATATCGATATGATGTGTATCTGATATTACATTTTGATGTGTATCACATGCTGTGCATTACATCTACTCATGGCTTCTTCCTGCATGAGGAAAAAACGGAAGGCTTTCAATTAGAGAGAAGTTTCGAATTACGATTCCAATCAACGCCCAAATTGGCTTGTCCATTCCAAAGAATGTTTTTCTTCCTTCCCATGCTCACGTCTGTTTCATCTCTGGTTGAGTTTTGGAGCGAGGTGAAATGCTATTGGGAAATGAACTGGCGTGAAGCGATCCTTTCTTATTCTCGCTTAGTCGGCGACATCAGAGGTGAGATCCAACTGCCACACACGAATGGCAGAAATCTAGAGATCACGTCTCCCATCGGCTTAAGGCTCCGATACACGAGACAAGTTCTTGCTTACATGGAGCAAGCGAGAGTGAACACGAAGCAAGTAGATTAGAAGAGAAGCAGGCAAGGACTTGGCTCCACTTGCTCGAAAGTTGTCAAGCATCTGCGAAACGAAGTCGAAAAGAGCAAAAACTCATACCTACTATAAATGTCAGAGAGCTCATCGTCTTTGTACTCCTACAGACCTTGACCTAGGTCTAGTCTCTATACCTGCATGATTTAAGCAGGGACCAGGAAAGGAAGCCATGACATGCCTTATTATGAGAGCAACATCTCTCCATGATTTAACTTCGAATGCATAGGGGTCACTTCGGACAAATTTCATTAAGAAACGAAGATCAAAGGGCCCGTCTGCTCCTCCAGAGTGCAGGGGGAAGCAATGAGCCTCACCCCAATTGGTTCCTACAGGGTCTTCCTGACCTATCAGAGCGCGACTTGGATTTTGTCTAGGATTTCTTCTTGGACTTCTGGGATTTTGAACCGAGGGGAAAGTGGAAACAAGCACTTGCCTGGACTTGCAGGAGTGAAGCAAGTGGTGTACACAAGAGGCAATTCTCTTTGCAAGTGCTTACTAGCAAGCACTTGCCTTGTGTATCAGGGCCTTTAGGGTGTTGAAGATGCAGAATATTGTGTTCATATTGCCTGAGATACATGGTCATTTCAGACAATCCATCATCCAATCAAAAGCCAACATTGAGATCCATCCTGAATTTTATTACAGCTTTCAATCTCAGAGATGGCATAAAATCTAGGATGATCACACTATTGGGAAACCATGGACGACTAGAGCACACTATGCAGAGGGATACAGGGGGGGGGGATAGAATGGGCTCCTTCCTTCAGCTACATTGGGTAAGAACTCACTGATGGGAGTTGATTTTTGTTACTTCAAACAAGAATCCACACGAGAATACCACTGATTGCACAGAATTAGGGCTGGAACTTTCCTATCATAATGGCTTCAACTGATAAACATAAATGGTACAAATTAAATGAGAAAACACTTGCTTCCATTGTTCTCACAGTTACATCATAGAAAGACATTACTCTGATTCAGGTCCATTCACAACCTATCACCCTTGGGACAAAATCTGAAGCAGAATGTATTCCCATGCGTTGTCTCAGAAGATTTTCAGGGGACATATGAAATATGGGAAAGTTCCAACTCTATAGATAATCACTCAAATGGAAATATCACTCAAATGGGAGAGCAAACCCAGGCCTCTCAATCTTGTGACTTTTGTATAGAGACCAAGGTCAATGAAATTCAAGGGAATGTTGAAGCAACAAGGAATGGCTCGTAGAGATGGGTTCATTCGCTGGTCTGCGGCACAGTGATGGTCTTGCCCTTGGGGTCGTCAAACTGGTCAATGGTTGTGATAGACATTATGTTGGAAAGGGCCCACCACATGATGATGGCAAAGATGAGCGTGATAAACAGTCCCGACAGGATCGGGACGGTCATGAAAAGCGAGCACGTCTCTGCCTCTCCTACAGATGGGACTTTGCTTTCTGACCCACTCCATTGCACCTGGGAAGAAGTGGAGTAGACCAATTCAGCTTACACAGAATTGCATTCAGCAGTGATCTGCATCATGGCAAGAGTTGTCAATGCATAATATAATCTCTGTAAAAATGGGGGTTATGACCAACATCAGAACCAATGCATCAAGTTCACATTCTATAATTTTATCAGTTTTTCACATTCTATTCTATTCCAAAACAGAATTACCTTCAACACTTTGAGATTTTGAAGCTCATTAATTCATAAGGCTGGCAAAAATGCAGTGAGGCACAAAGTCATGAAACTAACCTGGAGTCCAATAAGGGAGACAGACATATCGTACTCCTTTGGGTTGCGAGTTGCGAAGGGATCAGGGTCCTGGCATTGAAAGGACATGTTCATGGGAGCCACAACATCATTGGTGTGAAGCCTCAATGTCTTCTCAGGGAGATCCACAGAGTTGACCTTGGCTGTGAAGGTCACATTGAAGCCACTCATTCGCCAGCTGTTTCCCCATTTCTTCTTGAACTCCATCCTGAGAACCACAGTTGGACATATTCTCATCTTCCAATGCAATGAAACTTTTTCCTTTTGTACAACTGCAGGGAACTATTACTATATTTCATTAGAGCAAAACCAATAGTGTACAACAGAAACATAAAAGGGAAAAAATTCCTTACTACCAGCACTGAATCAGGTTCATGTGATTTCCATGGAAACTGCTGGAATGAGGATGGGGACTTGGAAATATGTGGGATTCTAGAATTTTTAATTCAATGGGTATGGGAATGAAAAAAAAAAAAATTAGGCCTACCAAAAGGGTATGGGGCATATGAGAGTGATATTCATGTACTACTACCAAAGAGAAGTTCAATTCATGTGATGATGATGAAATCTGCTCCCAGAATTTAAAAACCATCATTCTCACAGGGTAAAGATTAGAGAATAGTGCAAATCCAGCTGCCACTTTTAATTGCCAAATTTGCTGTGCTGGGTGGCATTGTTTCCACCATCTCCCCTCAATTTTTGCTGGCATGTCATCCAGACTATGTGATTTTCTGAGCTCTTCTTTCCTGAGATGAATGTCTATTTATTCAACTTTAGTGACACAGTGCCATCATGGGGGAAAATCCCCATGAAAGGAAATAAAATAGTTTTCACATCCAAAGGACTTGTGAGACATCCACACAACACAACCAACTTGATTCAATATTAGCCTCATGCAACATTGGTCATCTTGAATTTGGTCTACGGGTGACCTTGGGAATTTAACCTGGTTGAACTCTAGGATCAGGCTTTACCCTTGCAGGAAAATTTATGTGAAGATTATTTGCATTACAGAATCAAGATTATATTATGGAGGAAGACCTAATAACAATGCCTTCTATGTCCCCCTTGTTTCAAGGGCTTACTAATTCAAGGGAGTATTATACTACACTGCAGTGACAAGCTTTCACCTATTTGCTTTCCATTAGTCAATGTTTTAGTCAATGAGGAGATCACAGTCAAAAGACTGCAGCCTAAATTTTAGAAATGCCACCAGTCAAGTGCAGACTTACCACAAATATTAGCACATACCTATCAATACCAGAAAGTGGAATGTAATAATCAGTATAGCTCTTTAAAATAGTGGATGGAGGAGTAAAATTACCTGAGGGTAACCTTGGTCAAGACATCAGTGTCCTCAAATGTTACATCGATGGTGGCCTGGTCCTTGCCACAAGTTGGTGTTACCCTTTTGACTTGGTGAAGTTTCACTTTCTGGTTGAGAGGCTTTCCATCAATCACATAGGTTCTGATTGAAACTGAATCTGCATAGAGATAGACACAGTTCGTGTAGTTGAGAACTGGACCTGTATTATTCCCTGGCTTCTTGTCGACTGCTTCTCTGGCAACTCGTACTTTTTCCTCTGATTCAATCTGTTACAAGGAGGAAAGAATGGAAACCATTTCAGTCTCTAC